CATCTTTTTTGCCTGATATCCTAGAAATCATTCCCTTTAAACTCTTTCTTTTTCCTTTATTCGATAGAATTTCAAGAGACTCCACTCTCTCCCTTGCTGTCTTCAAGAAGTCCAGAAGTGAAATCATAGTCGCAAAAAAGAGGCGACGTGGTCAAATTGTTTTACAACACAGCTGGACAAATGAAACGATGAGATCTCATGTATCGGCTTTACAGAGGGCTCAGTGGAGCTGGTTTCTCGAATTCGCATCTGTTGCATCAAGATATCATAGCCTCACAAGGTAGTTGGGCCTTGTTACCGAGTGCGCATGCACAGTAAGAGGATGTACAAGTTGGGATGAATTCTAGCTAAATGAAAAGATGAACAGAAAAGTTACTTGCTTATATAACCCAATTAAGAAATACAAATGTCATGCCTACCTTCTGTTTTGCTAATTATTTAAGTCATGGCTGCTTATTAAATAAGCTTCCTGATAGAGGACGTTGTTACCAGCTAGCGAGTTAAGGGGGTGTATGATGGCCAGTGGTTACAGGGGTATGTAAAATAAATTTTTCGACGAAAATTCGCGAAAATTGAATCAAATTATCGCACCCCTGGGGTATTGTATTTGTCCATGATCCTCAGTTTAAGGAAACTTACGGAAAAAATTGGAATTAGTAGCAATAGTCCGACTCAGTCAATTTAATTTGGAAGACGGAGCTTTGCAAGTGATAAGCTGTAGGTTAAAGAACTTTTAATTTTAGAGATTGATCAGGGAACCCGCGAAGGCTTTCGCCGGGCCGCGGTCTGATTAAACGTCAAACGCGCGTTTACTTTACTTTAAAGTGCTAACATAAAAAAACGCTAGCTGTAAATATACATTGATTCACAGAAAAAATATGTTAGTTTTTTGTTTTTTAGAATTGTTTTTTAAAGGCATAAACAATTTGCTGCAATTTGCAAACCGCATTGTCTCCAAAGGGGCGTAAACTGGAGACGTAGGAAATTGTTGATGAAATATAAGCCTCGACTTAATTATGCGGTTCTTGAAGTCCCTAAATCTTACAGAAAAAAAAATAGTTTTATGCAGTTTCTTAATTGGCAATTAGCTAGTGGTTTATTCCTTTAATAAAAATTATAGTGCTAATGCTAGTAATTGTAATTGTGATTAAGACATTGTCATTGAATACATTCTTCTTTCCTCGATTTTCAGGCATAGGCCCTGTTTTATAAGCCACACCTTAATGGGTAAAAAGATTGGCGTTCCTCCTTGAACACCCATATACGTATTTAAAATGTAATAAGCCGTACCAAAATGAGAAATTTACACCCCTAAACGAAATGACGAGTATCCGCGTCTATGTCGGTGATACGGGAGTTCTTGAATCACCCTCTACGCTTACTTCTATGGTTTTCTTGACTGCAGAAATCAAATTTTCTTTACCCCTGTACTGTATTTTTCTGACCAAGACGTTGAGCCAAGAGCGAAGAAAACACGCCAAGAAAACAACAATTCCATTGATTAGGTTGACCCACAACTTTCAAAAACCACCTGTTTCTAGAAAAAAAATTCTTGCCTCTCCAATATCAACCCAATATATTCAATTTGCACTTCTCTATTTTACAAAATAAAAGGTGGAATTTTTTTTCATACTCTTGACCCCGGGCGCACTCTATACGGGAAGGCTCCGCCCTGAGGACCAACCCCTTACCGTTTTATATATCATTTTTGCCGCAAAAGATACTCGTTTCGTATACCTTCTATCTATATTGACACATAGTACCCCTTTCACATACTTATTGTAGTTAATGGTCGATGGTGTTACCATTCAGTGAAATCTGTTCAGCAGTACTTTCACATAAGTGGTGCTATTTATTTAGTATGTAGTTCTAACTTTTGCCTCTGCGGATGAAATCCTATGTTGTTTCCATTCAAATGAAACCTTTTCAGCAGTACTTTCACATGGTACTATTTATTTAGTATGTATTTCTAACTTTTGAGTCTGTGGATGGTGTTACCATTCAAATGAAACCTCTTCAGCAGTACTTTCACATGGTACTATTTATTTAGTATGTATTTCTAACTTTTGAGTCTGTGGAATGTTTTATCCAGTGGATAAAACAATAAATTATTAATGGTTTCCCTAGTACAGTAAATACTCAGCTATTAAGATCCCCGGGGAGCTTATTTATTTCAAACACATTTGAGGGGTGGGATGGGGGGCTCAATAGAGATGGGGGGCTTATTTAATTCACCAAAGACGATGGTATCAGTTCTTCACAAAGAACTAGAAAACAAAGTAGAAAAGCTCAAGTACAAGAAATTGGAAGCCATGCAGCCGAAGATCAAAAACAAATCCAAACTTCCAGTTGGTGAGTAAACCATCCTGGATCAGTCCAAATGAAGTTCATACAGTCGTGATTGATTAATATAGTCTATCATTTGAAAAATAATAAGGGGAGGAGAGGGGGGTTAAAAGAGAGGGGGCGTATTAACTTTCTTCTCCTGAAAAAGGCGGGG